GAGTATGCAGCAGTGGTACTGTGCAAAAATCAAAGGCGTTCACGTTAGTCCGTAGTCCTTAGAATACACAAGAGGGGTTTGACGACATTGTGAGCCGACAAGACGCGGACGGTGCTTCAGCAACACCTGCACAGAGAGTGGCCGATCGTCCATTTGTCGCAATGCCTCAGAAAGTACCATTGCTAGATTCATAAACGCAGCATTAACCTTACAGAAGGTAAAATGCGTAACTGATCGCTCTCCTGGTCGCAATACTCACTCAAACATTTTTAAAACTCATACTGTGATCGTTTTCACGGATCCGAATCAAATTACCACGCACGCCATATTTCGCTTGCCATGGAGTTCAACAAAGTATTGCACCAAAAGTCTCCACTACACTGAGTCTACCGAGGCGCTCCCACTTCACCCTCGATATTGTCTTTGTGCATTACTCGTGGCCTCTGAGATTGGCTCCGGCGACACGCCATTGCTAGTGTCACTCTGGGGGTTTCTTTCGTAATTGAAGAGCATAATTAGAGAGAGCGGTGCAACAGCCAGAAGAGCATTGCCGATTCCACGCTAAGCGTGGACTGAGGTCACCATCGCACGAACTTTTAAAGCGCTAACAAAAAAAATTGCCAACCAAGCGCTTCCTACAAATTTTTAACCAGCAGAGCAGAAACTTGTGGCCACAGGCGGTTGCAGACGATGCAGCCGAAGCCGCTCGAGAAACTCCATTCAGAGATGGCACTGTACTCTTTTTCTTTGTTTTTATTGCATTTTTTCAATTCCATTGGAGGTAACACTACACAAAATAGGAGATAGAGAAAGAAGGGTGACGCACGCACTCTGAGCACTGTGTGTGCGTCGTCCTTCCTTGTCCGTGTCCTATTTCGTGCTTCGTTACCTCTAATAATCATCCAACACACTTAAGCTTCGTGGCTAAGTTTTAAAGCTAGTCTATCGAAACTTCTGCGTGCGGGCTTGGCTTCACGGCTGCGAAGCAAGGCGATGAACGACGTTGCACAGTGGCATCCAATAGCACGCGCGGTTTCTTGCGGCGACGTAGAGAACGATGTAACTGACGGAGCATTTCTCGTGGCGAACGATTTTTTTGTTTTTGCATAGCCAAGCTTTACACAGCTTCTGCTGTTAAGGAATACACCACGGGAGGGCAACAAACGCGAAGGGAAACGTTACGCGTGTCTAGTTCCCTCTATGACCTCGCCTACTGTCTCGCGTGTCATCGACTGCCAGAATGACTAGGATCTTATGAATTTATTTATGTGTAGATGGATGATATCGGTGACGCTCGGCCTAAATCCGCCACCTCGCGGTATGTTACGGCATTGGGAAATTTGCACTTCTTTTGAAAACACTCTGAATGGAACGGTTGTAGCAACCGCGCGTTGCCGCAGCTAATTCCGGAACACGCGCACTACTTCTCTCCAACGCTTCCACATGATGACACCTTGCCGCGAACGAGGAGCGCTAAAAGAGCAATGTCTGAGAAATAATAGGCGCGTTCGTGTAGTTTCCTTCCAGCTAGCGGCAGTAATACCGTGGGCTACGGTTTCTCGCATGAAGGAATGTTATCTCCTGGGAAGCGCTCTTGGTGATCTTCATGTGTTGATGCATCGGAACGTAGTACGGGAGCCTTGTTCAAAATCATTGTGAACAACGCTCCGAATCAGAGTCCGACAACGTCAATGAGTTTTATTCCCTTGCAGCCAGTGTCTTCGTTTCTCGTCTTTTTATTCAATGATCCTTCCGGTCCAGACGGGTGTTCATGGAAGCCATCATTGCTTCCAAATGTTATTTAGATCAAAGATAGATACACTATACCAATCCCAAGTGAACACTCAATTGCACAGCAGCGCACACAGCAAGAGGAGGCCCCCCCCCCCCCCTCCGGCTTCGGCAACGCGCAATTTTCGTTCATTCCGGAAACTAAATGGCCCAACGTCACTCACGCACTCGCGAAATACACCTCGGATGACACCGAACCCCTCATGGAAAAAACACAAATACAGGGGCAAATTTCTCCGCCAAATCTTGTGGCAGTTTTTCAACAACCACCCCAAAGCCTGGAGTGGGGTATGCGACGCCAAAGAAAACAGAAACATTGCATTCAGTATATCAGCTCAACCGTTTCCACCACAAGTCCCTTTTTACAAGACGGTCCCGCATGTTAAAGTATAACAGTCAGTAAAGCAGGCACCACTAAAGTATACATATTTGTCACCTTATCGATTTCTTGTCGATTCGGCGTTCGGTAACACTACATAGATAAGTGCCTCGGGCCAATGTCAGGCCCAGTCCTTGGTCGGGCCGGGCCGGGCCAGGTAGGAGAACTTTTTTTTCGGGTACCGGTAGAGCCAAGGTATCGCGTTGAGTCACCAAGCCGGGCTCGGGCGGGTAAGTTTAAACAAGCTCCGGGGCCTTGCCGTGCCCGGGAGCCCAGACCAGTACAATGCTCTAATAAAGACCAAGATTCATGGTTTTACAAGTATCGTACCTCGTACCAATGGTAGGAGGAGGAACAATAGGAAAGGCAGAAAGGTTAACGAGATACGTGTGCCCGTTTTCTACACTACGCTGGAAGAAGGAAAAAGGTGAGTAAAAAGATTTGAAAGAAAGAGAGAAACAGCGGAAGAGAGGAGAACATTCTCACTACATGGACTGACGAGTATGCAGCAGTGGTACTGTGCAAAAATCAAAGGCGTTCACGTTGGTCCGTAGTCCTTAAAATACACAAGAGGGGTTTGACGACATTGTGAGCCGACAAGACGCGGACGGTGCTTCAGCAACACCTGCACAGAGAGTGGCCGATCGTCCATTTGTCGCAACGCCTCAGAAAGTACCATTGCTAGATTCATAAACGCAGCATTAACCTTACAGAAGGTAAAATGCGTAACTGATCGCTCTCCTGGTCGCAATACTCACTCAAACATTTTTAAAACTCATACTGTGATCGTTTTCACGGATCCGAATCAAATTACCACGCACGCCATATTTCGCTTGCCATGGAGTTCACCAAAGTATTGCACCAAAAGTCTCCACTACACTGAGTCTACCGAGGCGCTCCCACTTCACCCTCGATATTGTCTTTGTGCATTACTCGTGGCCTCTGAGATTGGCTCCGGCGACACGCCATTGCTAGTGTCACTCTGGGGGTTTCTTTCGTAATTGTAGAGCATAATTAGAGAGAGCGGTGCAACAGCCAGAAGAGCATTGCCGATTCCACGCTAAGCGTGGACTGAGGTCACCATCACACGAACTTTTAAAGCGCTAACAAAAAAATTGCCAACCAAGCCCTTCCTACAGATTGCTACCCAGCAGAGCAGAAAATTGTGGCCACAGGCGGTTGCAGACGACGCAGCCGAAGCCACTCCAGAAGCTCCCACCGAGAGTGGGTGTCGTCTCCGGCTAACACATTTCCATCATTGCTTAATTGACGCTCCTCTGAGCACAACGACGCTTTGCGGCTCGCAGTTGTCGCTTGCATCAGCTCAGAAGGCTGTCGGATCCTTGATACGCAGATTATGTTTGAGCTTTACAACGTGAGCCTATTCTTGTGCCCGGACTGCTGGATCGGCCCGGCGACTAGCCATTCTTTCAGTGATAAGCTGTTGGCGCTGTTCTTGTAAAGTTGTCTGCTGTTCGGGCATTTGCACGATCCGTGCCCACCCCACGTGGATATTCTATGTTGAACGTTCCTGCGATGCCGACTTTTCACGCGCTGGTGAGCCCTTTACGTGACGTTTGTGAACATCTATCGTTTCCCCTCTTCTTGCACTTCTCTTCAACACTGCTTTCTGTCCTGCTTCCCAGCTAATGTGCAGTGCTGTAGAGCTGACCTCCATTCAGAGATGGCACTGTACTCTTTTCTTTGTTTTTTATTGCTATTTTCAATTCTAAAGGAGGTAACACTACGCAAAATAAGAGATAGACAAAGAAGTATTACGCACACACACTGAGCACAGTGTGTGCGCCGTCCTTCCTTGTCCATGTCCTATTTCGTGCTTCGTTACCTCTAATAATCAACCAACACACTTAAGCTTCGTGGCTAAGTTTTAAAGCTAGTCTATCGAAACTTCTGCGTGCGGGCTTGGCTTCACGGCTGCGAAGCAAGGCGATGAACGACGTCGCACAGTGGCATCCAATAGCACGCGCGGTTTCTTGCGGCGACGTAGAGAACGATGTAACTGACGGAGCAGCCAATAGAGGCACTTAGCATTTCTCGTGGCGAACAATTTTTTTGTTTTGCATAGCCAAGCTATAAACAGCTTCTGCTGTTAGAGAATACACCACGGGAGGGCAACAAACGCGAAGGAAAACGTTACGCGTGTCTAGTTCCCTCTATGACCTCGCCTACTGTCTCGCGTGACATCGACTGCCAGAATGACTAGGATCTTATGAATTTATTTATGTGTAGATGGATGATATCGGTGACGCTCGGCCTAAATCCGCCACCTCGCGGTATGTTACGGCACTGGGAAATTTGCACTTCTTTTGAAAACACTCTGAATGGAACGGTTGTAGCAACCGCGCGTTGCCGCAGCTAATTGCGGAACACGCGCACTACTTCTCTCCAACGCTTCCAAATGATGACACCTTGCCGCGAACGAGGAGCGCTAAAAGAGTAATGCCTGAGAAATAAATGGCGCGTTCGTGTCGCTTGCTTCCAGCTAGCGGCAGTAATATCGTTGGCTACGGTTTCTCGCATGAAGGAAATGTTCGTCGGAAGCGGTCGCCTCGTACCAAGAAGTAGTGACTGCGAGTACGGTCAACGAGAAGTTTTCATCTAGCTTTACGTATTTGCCAAATGATCACGTGTATTTACCTGACGTGTTTTTGAGACGGGAAATATATGAGCAAAACGTTTCATGACGTACTTCTGTGAAGGAAATACGTCATCAAAGTCTTGGTGGACTTCCATCAAAAACACTTTCGTCGCCCAAGAAAAAAGGTGGATAGCCATTTAGCGAGAGCATCATTCTGACACGAAAGTAACGTAAGGAAACAGCATTTGTGGAGGCACATTTATTGCCATAGACTTGTGAACAACCGTGGCTTGTAGCAGTGCAGAATTGGAAATCACCTTAAATTCAACTGTGCCCTAGCATCTTGTCACTTGGCACTTGCATGCACAAATTATGTTTTGGTCACAGGTATTTTTGATCAGGTACTTCATAACATCATATTCACGGCCAATGAAAACTGAAGCTGTAAATAGGCGTTTCGAACGAATTTCTTGAAAAAAGCATGTAAGCTCCTTCCGTTAGGAAAGTGACGTATTCTGGATGTCCGCTGCTTAAGCGCAAAACTCTATGCATGCATGAAGCGTCTCGAAGTTATTGCCGTTGCTCTTGCAGCCTCCGTAGATGAATGGACGGCATGAGTTTCTCTGGGGATCGTAGTAGAAGCGCGGCAAGTACGCCAGGCAAGGGCCAGAGGAAGCCGGTCGTCTGCATACTTCAGCTACCGTTGCTGTAAAACAAAAGAAACGAGAGAAATGTAGACAAACTACTCAATTATCGCGATGACAAAACTAAATGCAGTGCGTAGATCTCTTCTATCAGATAGGACGGTGTGTGTGGTGCTCTAATTAAAATGAAAATGTTGTGCAAGTAGTGAAGCATTCAGTGCAACTTAATCAATTATGTTGCTATAGTCGGCGCGAAGGGCGCTCGTGCATCCCATATGTTCCTTATTCCTCCCTTTCTTTACATTGTCACTATTCCTACCATATCTGTTATGCCGCTAGCGCACCAAGGCCTGGTACTTGAAAACACATATTTTTTTCCTTGTTCTTCTGTTTCACTTGATAGGCGTTTAAGTGTAATCAGGATTGTACGCATAATTTAGATTCAGTTCGCGTGAAGATGCCTTCATTTTTCACAGAATATCTTATTAGATACAACTTCTTTATACGTCAGTACATTATTCTACTGCTACTATACTACTACAAACATTATTAATAAAAATATTTATAACACAACAACAACAACAATGATAATAATAAATAATAATAGCATTAATAATAGTAGTATATAATTTAATTTCTTGCACAGAGCAGAGGGGTAAGGGCCAAAATAATGTAAGAAAGACGAAGGAGAAAGCTGTGAGTGCCATAGAATGTTTTTTTACCGATACGCATAGGCCAGTATCTGGAGTGCCTTCTTGTCCACTATCCCGAAATACGATATTAAAGACGAGCACTGCTTCAAAACACTTCATCGGGGAGCCCAATTAGAATGCGGCGGTAAATGGATAGCGACGCATCTGTGCACGACGCGAGGTGTTTTTTGTCTCACACGATATGGCATTGCTAAAATTTAAGACTCGCTTGTGGTTATGAGCCCGATGCAAGCAAAAGTCCGAATAGCATGAAGAAATAAAATAAGGTTATGGAAAACAGAAAATTTTACCCACCATCGTGAATCAACACTCCTGGCGCTCAATTGATCACGCCTTGAGATTTTTGGCTTTAGATAAAGAAAAGTTTATTTACAGAAGAGCAGAGAGGCCGGCCTGAGCGAAAGTATGCTCAAGCCTGCAAGTCTACACTGCGAAGGGGAATGGGGAAAAAGAGTAATGTGTGGCGATGGGGAGGTAAGGAGGTGACTATGTGTAGCTCCGTCAGGTTGGCGCAGAGCTACATGCGAGCATCCAATCTAGTAGCTTGTAGAAAAGCTGTGAACCTTATGGCCACCCTAATTTTGCAATAAGGACGCTGTCATAGCTGCCACAGTTCCTGCTCGTTTATTGAGGCTAAAGCCTTTTGTGTATTATACTCGCGCCCGTTCGTCCATCCGTACCCTGAAACGGTCCTAGTTGTGGCATTTCCCCTCACACCCTCCCAGCAATCACGTGATGGCACACGGCATAAAGCAACAGTAGCACCGCCACAGCTGTGCCTTCTGCCTTTTACACTCTTTCATCAATCGAATTATTGCTAAGACTTTGTAGCAGCTAAAGACAAATACAAAGAAAAAAAGGAAAAAGAAAACGACAAAAAAGGAACTGCCATATTCATTCACGGGGCTTTTGCCAAACACACTTCGGAGTCTCCGAAGTGCCCCTCAATATTTTTTCGATTAATGCTGCAGCGCTAGCGAATCGCGTTAACAAAACTATTTGATGCATACCTCGCGTTATCACTGAAGCCAGATGTCATATATTACACTTTCAAGTGTTCTCTTTCAAACCAGATACTTCTAAACTTTAAACTGCATACGCAGGTGCACATCGCATAACGCTGGCAGTACCAAAGTAGCTAATGTGAAGAAAATAAGTGCATCGTTCCTGCATAAACCCCAAAACGTGCCCCCTTTCTTCTGGAGCGGCGGACTAACATGCGAGGCATGACTTCTTTCAGCATACAAGCGGAATGCCCCGTATGTATTGCTGCAATACAAAACAAAGCTTGGCCAGAGATTAAAAAATAGCTTTAGGCTCTGGCTGGACATATATGAAATAACTTTTTCCACGGTTATTAGGCATATTAGTTGAAGCTTACCTGAGTGAAAGTCTTCCGTTGCTACAGTCGAAGCCGCTGCAGTTTCTTCTTTCCTGGAGGTCACTATAAATGAAACGCCACAATTCAGGCATCTCATTACAGCCACCAATTTTTCATATACAGACAACTCTCCGGCCCCATACGCACCCTAAGAAGATGTATAGCCTTTGTTACCATATATTTATTTAAAGACAATTAAATTTTATCTCAGTATTGCGGTAAGTTTTCATCCATGCACGTGTATTTCGTGTGACTGTGTGTAAATATATGTACTTGCCACATCATTAGTCACATGACTACACTTTATAGTTAGCCATATGACCCACATGCTCTCTACGATATGACCCTATGACCCCAATGATTAGCATATGACCCACATTTGCTATACGTACGTCTACACCAAAGCACGCACGAAATGTGCAACGTGCACAAAATGTGCAATGGCAGACTTTTAAATGCGAACACATTTGTTCAGTCGGGCTACGTCAGGCATCCGTCGTGATCCGTCCACTGCCCTCTTCCAGGACAACAGCTTCGGGGTCACTCTTCCTAGCTACAGGAGCCCCCACCATGTTACGCTTCGGCGCCGGCAGTTGTCAGTAACAGCTGCGGGCGCGGGCTAATCCTCGCCCTCTAGCAACCGGAGTTCCCACCTCCTTGACTTGAGCGTGACTTGCCACTGCCTAAATGCAGTGCGACTTGAAATGCGTTTGCAGGGTTTGTGCTGCCAAAGTTCGTGAAGCGTTTTTTTTTTTTACCCGTGCGTGCTAGCTACTAGAGCTGGAAACGCATATCACGCTTCTCGTGACAGAAAAACGACACGTGCGGCGAACGACGCTATTGGCTGCGAGGTGTAAGAAAAAAATGAAAATATTATTCTAACGCTGGACTCTCGCGTGTGAAACGTCATCGCCAACGGTACTCAAAGCATTCTCATTTCCTCATGATTCCCTTCGGGGAGGTGGGGGAACCTTTTTCTCACAGTAGTGCGTATAGTTCTTCTTTCAGCCCATACAGGGCTTTAAGGGTGCGCCTTCAATGCATCAAGGGGCTTCCAAAATACACCCCTTCTGTAATTGTATTTACGTGGGTGGGTGTTTTACGGCTGTGCCATTTCTTACTCCATTGCATATATGCAGCAAGTTGGCCCACCGTGGTGCTCTACAGTGGCTACAGTACTTGACACGTTGGTGCCGGATCGAAATCCATCCGAGGCAGCCGCATTTTCGATGGAGGCGAAAACACTAACTCTCATATGCTTAGATATAGATGTACGCTCTAGAATCAAAGGCAGTCGAAATTTCGGCGCCTTGCACTACGGTGTCTCTCGTAACTACATCTCTTTGTCGGATGTTAAAACCTTAATTATTATTATGTGTACGTGATGTATATGTGCGGTAAGGCTTAGTTTCACCCACACACAGGACGTATCTGTGCCATGACGCAAAAATGTTTGGGCAAACAAACGAATCTTCACATCCAAAATGTACTTTCTTGGGTGGAGCTGGGTGGATATTAGTTTTCAGACGATCTTGAAAATAACAGCGCGAAATTTGAGAAACCCGGTCAAACAAACAACACCACACAGGCACTTAATTGTGTGAATGTTTCTCCAGAATGATTCATTTCAGTGCCGCTGCCCTCAAAGCGATATACCACCAAATAGTATAACGAGAAATTGGTAATTGGCGCTTTTATTCGGATTGCAGCTGCAGCCCGAGCAAACGCCCTTAGAAATCTGATAATATTTCATGCTAATTACAGAGACAGGGTTCAGCAATTATCCGAGCAGTTCTTGTGGCTGACTGGCACATCAGAAGCTAAGCAGTCACGATTCTTTGATGATTATCATGAGGACTGATGCAATCTCAATCACGTCGCTCTGAATTTCGGTGGAGAACAAATCGAGAAGTCCCGGTACTGTGCTATGTGAGCACGCTATTGAGAGCGCAGGTCATCGAAATTACGTAGAATCTTCCGCAAAAGCGTCTTCAATTCTCTTGTATACTATCAACTTACAGTCTTCGTTTGCAATGCTTGTCTTGCTCATACTCAGCGCATTGTAATCTTGCAAGTTGTATCCCTTAACCTCATGTACCTCACTCGTTACCATTCTCAATGGTGATTCCCTTGCTTTAGCCCAAATCCTGGAACTATAACATACTCTTGCATAACGTGGAGAATATATTAAAAATGCTCGTATAAGTACGCAGAGAAAATGTGTGCTTCGAGATGTTTTCGGATCTCACGTTCGGTTGCAACGATATCAAATCGTCTCCCCGTTCTACACTTAGTTCGGGATTATTTGTACTCTATACAAAAAGCGTTATATTACCTAACGACTCGTTCCTATTTCATACGCTGCTTTAGCTGTAAAATGATCATGCTCTAATATTTTTACATCAACACAGTTTATTTATTGCACCCTGATGATTTCTAGTGCTGAAGACCCCACTCCCCTATAGCTCATTGAAAAAGGTGTTCTAGAAGTACCCCACGTGTTTTCTTCATTGGTAGATATGCGTGATCCTGTAAACCGTTTCTGAACAAAGTGGCATAGATACTAAAAATAGGGTAGCTAGCAAGTAATTCAGCACGTTGAAAATATCAGTACCATGTGGTACTTCTACAATGCCTTACGTTCTCACTCCCACTGCCATACTGGCACTGCGATGCATTAGCAATTTTCCAGCGCACTGGAAAATTATGATAACGCGTCACAGTGGCGGGAAGGCCTAGTTTAAATGATAACGTTATGCTCCTCTTCGAGGACTCACGTGTTTTGGACGAGCAAGTTTCTTCACACTCTTCCCTTGTCTCGTATCTGTTACCATTACCGCCACAACCACCGTAGACGAACTCTTCACATTTTCCCGTTTTGGTGTTGAACCACCACATCGGGAAAAACCCCTTGCAGAGGCCGACATCTGGCCCTTGATCGCACTGTGGCTCGAAGTCTTTCGCAGCTGTAATTGTGAAAAGAAAAAACAACCACCTCAAAAAAGGTAAAACTTCGAGCTAGTGGGTATGGCTTCATCGTTAAAAAAAAAAACAGCGTGGGTACACTGAACAAGAACAACGAAAGACAACAGGACTGTACGCTGTTTTCTGTGGTCCTGTTGTCTTTCTGTGCCTTGTATTTGCGCTGTTTTTCACGTTAGAGATTACTGGTTTACGTAATTTCCAGGCGCCGCGAAGTGGTGCCAACACTTCATTAGGATTACCAAAGTCAATAAACACCGTCAGGCTTTTAACGGGTTGGTGCCATGGAATTGTGAAGCTATAACAAGCCTGCCCCGCCGTGGTCGTCTTGTGGCTAAGGTGACCCACAGGTGATAGGGTCGAATCTCGTTGACGCTGCTGACTCACAGGTCGTAGGGTCGAATCTCGATTGCGACGGCTGCATTTTCGATGGAAGCGAAAGTGCTGTAGGCCCATGTGCTTAGATTTGGGTGCACGTTAAAAAACCCCGGATGGCCGAAATTTTCGGAGCCCAACACTACAGGGTCTCTCATAATCACATAGTGGTTTTGGGGCGTCAAACTCATTTTATCAATCAAATGTGACAAGACTGTTGTGGGTTTCCTCTGTAAACAAGGACCCTCAATCTAAAGGGTCGAACAAAGCAAAAGTTTTCAGTATATTTGAATCCACTTCCAATGTGTCCTTAAATTCTCAATGATTGTTCCGTGAACTGGGAGCGCGGGAGTAACACAGACACGAAGCAAAGAGGAGGCGCTCGTGCTGTGTGGCTTCTCTTTGCTTCGTGCCTGAGCTTAAATTCTCATTCACCCGATCGAGACCCATCGCTAGTGCGCCAACACTGACGGATATCTATAGGAATGGCGACGAAAGTTGTTGTGACATCACACCAGATCTGCAATGACATGAGGGACCTTTACACCTCCGCAACGTACCTACCGACAAAGCGTCGGTTGCTACATCTTTCGCGGCTGCTGCAGCTAGCCATGGTGGTGTCGGTGCCTTTGTTCCGCTACTTCTCGTGCGACGCGTGCGCGCCAGCACGCGACACTCAGCACGAGGGTCACACGTGATAAAGCAACCTACACGGCTACGTGACTGCCTAACTTGGCGCCCAGAACCTCAAGGCGAAAATTTTTCACATAAAAAGGCATTATTACATTTTTTAGCGATAATATATGAACTTTTCGGGGTGTGTCATGCTTTGTATAGCCATAAACACCTGCAGCAAATAATGCAGGAGCCACAATATTGAATGGAACCACCCTTTAAAAGCAGTTATCTTGGAGTGCGAGCGTGTATGCTGTATTCTTGAAATTGCCCATGTAAAGAGGTTTTCACAGCTACAAGAGAACAAGGACAAAACATTGAGCCACAAATTAAAACTACCTCGACTAGCTAATATCCCTTGACTTTGCACTGACGTGATGATTCATGTATAATTGAAAATTCTGTGCTCGTTTTACAAACTTCTTCGCGTCAGCACCAAAACATCTAACACTACCAAATGTAGCCCCAGTGTATACTTTTTTTTCAACTGCGTCCTTAAGAACTGTCTGAAAAAAAAAAACAATATGCATACGTGTCAAGTGTACGCATAAGCGTCTTTTTGAAGTGTGTGATAATTAGGTACGCCAGGATACCGTGGTGCCGTAGTATTGCGTATGCTTTCTTTACAATGCCCCAACTTGGATTTCTACGTTTTCTCAAAACTTCAGGCTACGAATTAACAATAACTGAATTGAATTTTCAACCACTATGAAGTGAACAACACTATAATAATAATCTGAATTCAACGCACTGAGGACGTTTCGCCTGGCTTCTGACATAAAAACTGTAATATGCACATATTACCATGACTTTCAGAAAAAAAAAAAGAAATTAGACAGGGTAAACATTTCATTCAATGTGCAGGTAGTGCTGATAACTGCGACTTTCATTCATGCCAATAGAGTAAGCAAAGTGGATTAATCCCATAGGAGATGTCACTTAGTCGCGAATGAAACCAATGCTTATGCCGATGATCATGGCAGGTACATTGTCGTATGCAGTATACACAATTGTGAAGTCAGCTGTTCAATATTAGATCTGTTTTACAACAGCTGACATTATGCTCTTACTGTGACTTCAATGCCAATATTTCA